CTGAGGCCTCAGGGCAGGCAGCAGCAGCTGAGGGCGGCGGGGAAGGCAGCAGAGGGACAGCTGGAGGGCGGCTGGGGCAGGCAGCAGCAGCTGAGGGCGGCGGGGCAGGCAGCAGAGGGACAGCTGGAGGGCGGCTGGGGCAGGCAGCAGCAGCTGAGGGCGGCGGGGAAGGCAGCAGAGGGACAGCTGGAGGGCGGCTGGGGCAAGCGGCACTAGCCACAGGCGCTCCTAGACATGACGGGATCCCCAATCCTTGCCACGCGGGGGCGGGGGCGGGGCGGTTCCCCAGCGCTTGCGACGGGGCGGGGGCGGGGGCGGGGCGGTTCAGCCTGGCGCTGCGCACGCGACGTCTCTGCTGGCACGTGGCCGAGCATCACCTAGAAAAAAGAAATCAGGTGGGAAAGAAAAAACAGAGCTCTCTGCTGGCACGTGGCCGAGCATCACCGACGGCCACGAGAGCCGGCCAGAGAGGCTCTCCTGTGCGCGGTTCACAGCTTGGTCTGAGTCACCGATACGGCACCGAGCCCGAACCCAGAGAGGCTACTCCTCCGCATAGATGGCGCCGGCGGAGACGGCCGTCGGCGTCGCGTCGAGCTGCAGGAGCCACGAGACCCGCTCCTCGAGCGGAGCGGACGGCGGCGGCGGCGGCGGCGGCGCTGCAAACGCGTCTCGCCACGCTGCCCATTTGAAGCCGGCCTAGGAGGAAGAAGACGCGCTCAAAAAAAGAATTGCACCACAGACCGCCCATCTGAAATCGGCCTACGAGTAGGAGAACGAAAACGCGGTCCCAAAAGAAAACGATCCGCCACCACGCCGCCCATTTGAAGCCGGCCGGCGTAAGGTAGACGAGCCGTTGAAACGCTGGCTCGCTGTCGGCGTAAGCGAGCGGGAAGGCGGGTTCCTATAGGAAAGTTCCGAGAAGGCTCACGGAAGGCTCCCGGAGGGATGTCGGCGGGAAGGCGGGCGCCGAGCACGCGCGGCCAAGGGCGTGGTCAAACCAGTCGAGGTAGGAGGCGACGCTGTCGAACCCGTGGTGGCCTATAACAGCTGAGCGGCGGTCACTACTCATGCATCCGCCGCCCCAGCTTCGGCGCGGGAGGTGGCCTAGTTCAGAAGTGAGGCTTCTTCATTCAACGTCAATCGTTCGCCGCCCCGGCGTCGGTGCTTCTGGCGGCGGCCTCCGGGCCGGTGCAGCAGCTGCAACGCTGTACTAGGCGCCTTCATAATCAGCAGCCAATACTTGATCATTTAAGCCGGCCGGTGCAGCAGCTGCAGCGCGGTGCTGACCGCGCCTTGAGCAGGCGGTAGACCTCACTCGCGGCCAGCACGCCCATCTCGTCGGCAAAGGTGGAGTCGCCTAGAAGTTTCCGTGAAGAACCTTCTAGGAACCTTCTAGGAACCTTCGTCGGCAAAGGTGGAGTCGCCCTCGAAGTCCGTCCACGCGTCGGCAATCGCGCAGTACCTCGGCGCAATCAGGGCGAGCACGCCGTGGCCGTCCATCGGCATTCTTCCCGGGTCGTCGCTGTACTGAGTGATGCTGCTCAGCCACCAGGTGCCCGCCGTGCCTAGAAGGTTCCAAGAAGTCCTAGAAGGTTCCTTGATGCCGCTCAGCCACCAGGTGCCCGCCGTGCCCGCGTCGGGCCCCTCTCCATAGAAGTTGTGCGACGAGTATGCGTACGGAGAAGAGATCGGCGCGCCCGGCGACGAGCCGACCACCGCGCCTGGTGGTAATCAATAGGTGATTCATCGTTAATTAATCATGAGCTCGGGCCGACGACCGCGCCGACACGCTCGTCAAAGGCAGCGAACAGCAGCGACTGCTTGCCGTTGCGGCTGTGGCCGGTGACACAGACGCGTCCAGCGGCAAAGGAGGGCAGGCCGGCGGTCCCGTTTGGCGGCGAGAGGGCAAAGTCGAGGGCGCGCGAGGCCACGTAGGCTCGGGCGAGGATGAGGCCCATGCTCGCCGTCTGCCTGTACGCGCACTGAAACGCGGGCGCGGCGTCCCGCGTGTCGGCGGCGGGGTAGACAAGACTGGCGTAGCCGCGAGAGAGCGCGCGCAGCGCCCACTCGCGGTGGTTCCACTGCGTCATGAAGAGCGGGAGCGTGGCAGTCGGCGAAATGGCATCGCACGCGTACGGCGTCAGCAGCTCGACGGAGAAGGCCACCGTGGAGGAGCCGTTGCTCGTAACGAGAGGAGCAGGAGGAGCCGCTCGTGTCGACGGCGCGTCGCTCGTGTCAAAGGTGAGCTCGTAAAAGGAGGAGCAGGAGGAGCCGCTGGTGGTGGCGTTGGTGCGAGTCGCAAGTCGCAGCGTTGGCGCACGCGGCGGCAAGGTGCCGAGAAGATGGCGCTGGAGGAGCTGCGCAACTTGATCTCTCCGCGTCTGGGCCCATGCTGTGGGCGTGGCGACAGCAGAGCCGTTGTCGAATCGGAGGAGCGGTGCGACGGAAAAGCAAGAGAGGCAGAGCAACGCCATTTATCCCGCGAAAAAGAAAACTTTCCACGTCGCGCCGCATGGTGGCCGCGCTTGGCGTGTCCGTTGTATTTATTTATTTAGTGGCCGCGCTGCGCCGCTCGCCGCTGGCGCGCGGTTGATCGCGGCGCTGACTCCGCGGGGCGCCATCTCACGCAGCGGGACGCGTCGCTTCGTCGGCCTTTTATCCCGCGAAAAATTATCCCGCGAAAAAGAATTTTACAACCCCTCGCACAACACTGGGACACCATCGTGGGCGTTTGAGCGGTATTTGAGGAGCACCGCGACTCTGAAGTTCGGCCGGGTGGTTTGCAGACCCCCCCCCCCGGAGCAGCAAAGGCTCCGTGGGGTCGAAAAGTCGACGCTGGGAGTCGCACTCGTCAAACCGTCGCAACACCACGCAGTCCGCACGTACCGCCTACATCCCCTCCACCGCTGAGAAGGCGCAGATCGACCGCCGGGCCGCGTAGTCGTCGTTAAGGAGCGGTTTTTGGAGCCGTACGAAGAGGTCCCAGACGGGCGAACATGCGGTTTTTCGATGACCACGCGCGATGTGGTATCTGCTTTTTGCTAAAAACGGGCCGCCTAGTGCAGCATCACTGGTAAAACACGCATTCACACTGAGAGCTCCACACTAGCCGGTATAGGCGAGAACCGACGGCGTCACGGTCGCCGGAGTGGACGCACTGTACACACACACTGTGACCGTGCCGTCGGTGTGACAGTGAGCGACACAATCGTCGATCGCGGCGCCCCGCAGTCTACACGTCTCAGGCGCACCCCTGAACGCTCCATGGGCGCGCAGATACACCGCAGCGCCGTGGAGAATCCACACCTGGCCGGTCCCAGGCCCCGTCCTGGGCCTCCGGACGGCCGAAGATCGGCGTCGCGGGCGGGATGAACTTGTCGGAAATGGAGCTAACTTGGCGCGGGTCGCCGCTCGCGGTACCTGGTAAGCCGGGATATGGCAAAATCTGGGGTGAATACGAGGGACAGAGGTCGAAAGTTAGTCGCGCAATTACCGTGCGCGGCGTGAGACCTCAAGCATCGCGAATTCGCGATCACCCGAAGAGGACCTTTCCGAGCAGAGGTCCTCACGAGCCAGCCGCAGACGGAGAGGTCCCCATCAACACCTCTCGCTCTCTATCCTGCACGCAGAAGGGCATACAACCTCGGCGGTATGCCTTGTTACATGCCTGTGAAGTGTGTGCAGTCTCTATGCGGCTGGCCTCCCCCCTGCAAACCCAAAGCTATGACGCGCTTTGACGAATGGAGTTGGAGATCTTAAACGGGTATGAATCATAAAGAAGAGAGAC